TGGTTCAAATATATTTTCAATAGAGGTAAAAGATTTACTAATGAAATTGTAAAAAAAACAGGCCACTATTTAGAAACAGAAAACCAAAAAGAAAATAATTATCAAACACTTTTTTTTATCCATCTCTTTTTTTCCTTTTTTTTTTGTGAACAATAGTTAGTTCTTTTTTTTATGGACAGTCTGTTAGTCTTTCATGATTGAATTTGATTGAATATTGGATATTTGTTATGAATAAAACCATAAAAATTACTGTCAATGAATAATTAATATTTAGTTGCCCCTAGCATTTGTTTCTTTTTTATTGTTGGATTCGTTGATTTTTTATCTTGTTTATTCGTGAGAAAAAAAAATTCTATCGATTTTTTTAATTATTTGAAAATTATTAACCTTAGTTTTAGTATTTTATTACCGTTTATCTAAACCTCAATATTGATCTAGGCTCCAATATCGACCTTGTTTTTAAGACAAAAATGTAGGTATATATCCAAGGTCGGAGGTTTGAACTTTGAACCTTCATCGGGTGAATTTAAAGAAAAGAAAAAGAAAAAAGAACAATTATACATGATTTTCAGATTGGTGTGCCAACGTTTTCTTAAATTATTGGGCCTACCCGACCCAAATCTTATGCCCGTTTTTAAGATGTCCAAAAAGACGGCCCAGTCAAAAGGCTGCGGCCCACTGGACAGAAACATGGGCCGGCCCATTGCATTCCACCAAAGTCGCTTTAGCTGGCCTACCCGACCCAAATCTTATGCCCGTTAGCACGAAACTAAACACCAAAAATATAACTTTTGAAAAAGGAATTATATGGCTTAAATATTTGTAACTTTTGTTTATATATATATTTTTGGTTCTTTCAAGTTTGCGGTCGAGATTCTATTTAGTTTCTAAGTTTCATAATGCTCGAATTAGAAATGGTTTGATTCAATCTTTGAAATCATTGTATCAAAACTGGTTAGACATGATACATAACAATGAAGGCGTGATTACGTAATCTTTTAAGTTAAATTACAAGTTTAGTTCCTAAATTTTTTAGTTATATAATATGTGTGATTTAAAAAAGTCTAAGAAATTCTAAACTTTTAAATTTGTGTTTAATAGGCCCTTGAATTTGTAATAGATTATTCATCTAATAAACTTTTTTTAATTCACGAATTTATCAAACACAAAATTGAAAAATTAAAGTTCTAATCTATTAATTTTAAATGTTAAATATGTTCTTGATCTATAAAGATTTTTTAGAAACTTAAATTTCTAGGACTTATTAGATACAAAATTAAAAGTCCAGGGAGATATTAAACACAAATCATTTAATATTTTTACTAACTTAGATTTCTTTTTCTATATTATTCTCTTTATTTCAAATTATGATCTAACATTTAGAAGATTCACACGATTTTAATAAGTCTTGATTTAAGTCTAGAGTTGGAAAATATGGTAAAGAAACTTGGTTCGTGATTTTGCTAAGTTTTTTTTTCCCTATTGTATTTTCACATATGTTATATATAAAATTATGATTGACAAAATCATGAGCCTAAACAGTATTATAATAATATCAACTTTTACAAATCATTGGATCACAACTCTTTGGAATAGTTTTGAAAAGTAAAATCAAACTCGAAGAATTCTGCCATTTTATGGCTTCGATATTACATATGAAAATAGTTCTAACTTCTAAGAAACAAAAAATAGTTTATTTTCATAGATAAAGGAATGGGGAAGGCAAAAATTCAGGATGAAGCATCATATTTCACGTGCCAAAGCATTCATCTTTGTATCACGAAACACGTGACATTGTGATTCATTCATTTAAGTTTTTTTTTTTTTTTAATTAACCACTTCCTTCTGCTGCCACTGTTGCTGGTCATGGGCTGCTTGGAGTGTTTTAAGAAGTTGTTTGGTGTCCATTTCAAAAAAAAAAAAAGATCTATAAAATTTTATTTAGATATAATAACTATTTTTATAAGTTCTTTTTTTAGTTTATTCTCATAGATGACTTGTTTTTTTCCAACATAAATAGGGTTGCTATGGTTTAAAATTTTATTTTAATTGTTAATTTTTTACTTTATTTCATTTTAATTTCTAAGGTTGTAAAATAATTTGAGTGTCTAATTAAAAAATAATCATTTTTGGTCTCTAAACTTTTTAAAAGAAAAAAAAAACCATTTTGGTCTTAATTAAATGATTTTCTATCTAAAATTCACTTAATCAAGTAATGATCCTTGCGTATGTACGGGTATGGAGATAGTGCGTATACCCCATATATAGGGGAGGTATAAAGGCCAAAGGGCCACCGACTCCTAGGTAATAAAAAAAACACTTGCCCAATACTCGATTCAACCTAATTTTTTTATTATTATTATTATTTTTTTTCTAGAATACAACGATATATGTGAGTGGGAATTCAAAGGTGGGTATATTGACCGGTTGAACTACGCTAGATTGTTTTAATACATGCTTGTGTTAACACATTGATACACATAATGTTATTAATTTCTTAATTTGAAAGTATAAAAATGGTTATCTTTTTAAACTTCAATGACTAAAATAGACGGTCAGTGCGAGCATCAGCGGTAATTAACATATATCTCTATCCAAGACGTTGTGAGTTCGATCTTTCACCCCGCATATTGTACTAAAAAAATGACTAAAATAGTCTTTTATGAAAAGCATGAATAAAATAAAATATTTGAAAATGGAAGAGCCACAGCCCAAACTTTAAAAGTTGACCAGAACAAAATAAGTACAAATGTGTGAGATTTGAACCATTTTCATCACCATTTTAACAGGGGAGAATCTCTAGGGTTCATATAACTTTGATCATTAGTTTTTTAATTGGTTGACTCGATGATATCCTAAACCAATTCGTATTGGTTTGGTTTTCTCCTCCATTCGACTGATCCGATTTGATCTCTCTCTTTTATTCGAAATCAACTCGACCCACCCTAGTTACACACATGGCTAAAACTTTTAATGCATGAAATGGGTGTGAAAATGATATCCTAAACCAAGTCGAGTTGATTTAATTTAAAACTATTTTTGAATTGTAAACTTAATTTAGAGTTCATCAGACTTCAATCATTAGTTTTTTACTAATTTTATTGGCAGACTCAATGATATCCTAAACCAAGTCGAGTCGGTTCAGTTTTCTTCTCCACTTTACTGAACTGATCTGATTCTATCTCTTACATTCGAAATCGACTCAACCCGACCTAACCCATGGCTAAAATTTTTAATAATATGGGTGTGAAAAAAGAATTAATTTGGAGTAAGGGTTATCATTATGGGATGTCTGGTGAGATATTTGATAAAAATATGTCATATCTCAGACATGAATTTAGGCCCCACAGAGCACATGCTGTAATTAAAATGCTGGCAGATCACAAACAATTTGAGAGGCCATAATAATGAGTATATAAACAAACCACTAGAAGAACCAAAAACTTACATTGCGCACTAAGTAAAAGCAAAACAAAACAAAACAAAAACATAACAACATCACTACTTTTGTTTTTAACTATTATAAATCTTCTTT